GGGGTTCCGTATTGTAATTATAGCATGATATAACCCAAGACCCTATTCTATTTATTAAGGCCCCTAAACCCTAATCCCTAAACCCTAAACCATAACCCTAAACCCTAAACCCTGGCGTTGTTGCGGTTTAGGAGCTCAGGGTTGAGTGAGTTTAGGGACCTCAGGGTTCTCTGCGTGTTTCTGTTGAATAGGGCTTAAGTAATTACCTCTATTATTTTGGGGGTTCCTTTTTATAGTTATAGTATGATATAAACCCTATGTTAATTATTAAGGCCCCTATAGTAGGCCTTGCTTTCAGATGTGTCCTCAGGTCTACAGTACACGACACCAGATACACGTGCGTTTGAGCCTGGCCTGCCGCATGTGTGTCGCGCAAGAAGCTGCACGCAAGGGTTTAGGTTGATTTAGTGAGGTTTCCGTTTAGGGATAAGGAACATGTTTTCAGTAGTTGGGTCCTTCTCAGTTTCCCTTTCTTCTCGAGGCTCGCCCGCGGAGTCCTGCCGGATTTCTGAACACCAAGTTTCCCGAAGGCCCGCCTAAACGATGAACCCCAAACCCCAAGAAACCCTAATCTCTACTGTAAACCTTATAAACCCTAAGCCCAACCCCTAAGCCCTAACCGTAAGCCCTAAACCCTGTACCCTAAGCCCTAAACCCGAAGTCCCAAAAACCCTAAGCCCGAAGCCCCAACAACTCCCCTATCCCAGACCCGCACCGGCCACACGGCAAAACGGGACGGCAGAAAGCCCACGGAGCACGAACACAACCCTAACGACCCGAAGCCGAATGCTCTCAAGCCTCTAAACGGGTTTAGGGTCTAGGGTTCTGGTTGGGCCTCTACTTGGAGGATCATGAGACTTAGTAAGTAGGGTTATAAGTACCTTAATTGGTGGTATAAGTAACTTTAAGTATAGCTACCTCAATTATAACCGTAGTTACTGAGTCCCACGATCCTTTAAGTGACCCTAAGCCCGAAAGGTGCTATCCCTCAAGCCCCTGAGGTCTTCGATGTGACTTTCGGAATCTGGGTTCTGGCCATCCACCCCTACACGGACCTGGCAGAGCCTTGGAATTGACAGCAGATTGCTTAAAGGATCATGGGGCTTAGTAACTCAGGTTATAATTAATGTAACTATACTTATTACTTATAACCTCAATTAAGGTCCCTATAACCCTATTTACTAAGTCCCATGCTCCTCCAAGTGAACAAAATCCTTCGGCTTTGCAGTGCGTCACAGTATACCCGCAGGTCTCTGGACGGTTTAGGGCTTAGGGTTTAGGGGTTTAGGGTTTAGGGGGTTTAGCTGAAGACCGACAGGTTCGTGGCGCGTAGTAGCTGGGGCTATGCATAGGGTAGTTATAAGTACAGCTGCTTCTAGCACAATGTGGAGGCACTTATAGCCATACTGGGATATAGCTACTAAGCTGGCCGGATCCTCTAAGTCGAGATCAGTGTTCAAGGATATACGGGTTAGGAGATCAGGATGTAAGATCTTATACCTAGTCGCTAAATCATTGTTTACCCAGTACCCAACCTTTAAACTGTTTTGGGTTGTCATGCTTCATGATGAAACTACAAACATTTCTGTGGTATATCGGGGAAGTAACCCAAACTGTAGGCTCCTAAGATATCTTAGGATTGCGGGTTTAGCAATGGCGGGGGTCATGAGCTTGTGCCCTAGGGGTGCAGTTGCATAGGCTACATGCCTAGCGCTGAAGTAGCTTTGCCGGAAAACCCTTGAACTTAAAGCCCACATTATTCACTGCAAGATAACAACAACAGCCAAACATACTTGTGGTAGTCGACGACTAGGCTGAGATTTTCAATTGCATGCAACATGAAAGACCCTAAACATAGTCCCTATCTCCTGAATGCTAACAAAGGGTTTAGGTTTAGGGAAACATGCGAGCCTAAACCCTTAACCCACATAAAGCACAGAACGCCCACTTGTGATGTCGCTGCCGCAGTCTTCCCGGGCTCAGCTTGATGATGCAGCTTAGGGTTTGTCTAAGGTTCAGGCTGTAGACAAACATATCAGCTTGCAAGATGTAGAAAGAAAGAAGGTAGCTGGCGCTTCATTCTTTTCCTGCAGTCCCTTTCTTGGTTCATCCATCAAATCAGAGTTACAGAGTCGGTTGTCCAAGAGCAAGCCGAAGGGCCCCAGGAAGACGGCTTATCCACTCAGACAATGGCCTTTCTGCAGTTTAAGGTTTAGGGTTTAGGGTTTAGGGTTTAGGCTTATCCACTGCCATGCAACGCCCAAGCTGGCTTTTCCTTGACACTCTTCGACTGGCAGGTGCAGTTTGGAGCCTCGTTTCCACTGATGGTCCCGGCGGCATGAATGCCGCAGCGGTTCACGATTGCCAGACGGATCTTTGGTACCATAGAAGCCTTAATACTTTTAGGGGTTTGGGGAACCAGTATACTATCATATTGTACTATAACCAGGTTCCTAAGTAGCACCCGTTTAATCCTCTTGAATGTATGGTTCCCTTACTAAAACCGAATATCAGGAACAAAGGGTACCCTTATTAAGGGATCACTCAGGAACCCTAGATAAGCAAACCCACAACCCCAAACCATAAATAATGGGTAGTTTTCTAAACTGGCGTCCCGCTCAGGATCCTTGTCTTCAGGGTGCCGTACTTTCTTGGGGACCCCCAAAAAAGGGCCCTATTGTAGAGAACTACCCAAATGATGGTCAACCTGTACCCTAAACCCTAAACCCCAAACCCAAATGATGGTCAACCTTATCCCTAAACCCTAAACCCAAATGATGGTCAACCTAAACCCTAAACCCTAAACCCTAAACCCTAAACCCAAATGATGGTCAACTCTCAGGATGTTTGGTGGTACTTGCCGTTCGGCGGGTCGAAGTTGTGGAAGTTTAGTGTGGCGAACGAGACATGGACGGAGGAGGACAGCAGTATGTAGAGCTCCTTAAACGGTTCCTTAAAGAGTTTCCCTATATACCCTAAACCCTAAACCTTAAACCTTAAACCCTAAAGCCTAAACCCTAAAGTTTAAACTTAGTTAGTAGGCTCCTTAAAAGGGATCTTCAGGGGCTCCATAAGGGGGATATGGGGGTTTAGGAAATTCAGGGGGTAGACTTATAAGTTTTCTAAGTGAGATCCTAATTGTGGTTTTGGTATTATAAATATGCAAAATAACTACTTACTCCTGTTGAAGATACAAATCCTGCAGTACCTTAAGGACTTTCAACTATGGGAAGGATGCTGAATTCCTTATTATGGGTAATGAAGGATTTATATCATCCACCGCAGGGGCCTAAAACCCTAAACCCTAAAAGCCCTAAACACTAAACCCTAAAACCCTAAGACCCTTAAACCCTAAACAACCCCCGGACTCTCCAAGTGAGACATGGGCCGGAAAGGACGGCAGTCCGCCTTCAGTCAGCTCGAACGGCCAAGGCTGCATGGCACCAGATGGACAAGGACCGATTAAGGTTTCGGCTTCAGGGTTTAAAGAGTTTAGGGTTTGAAGGGTTTAGGGGTTTAGGGTTTAGGGTTTAGCAGTTTAGGGGTTTAGGGTTTACGGGTTTAGGGCTTAGGTTTTGCCGAAGCTTGTTTGGAAAGGTCGCTCAATCTTTCCCAGACGGAGACCTTAAACCTATGCTGTGTGGATTAGAGTGCCTGAGGAAACCTCTTCGTTTTCTCTGGCGACAATACAGCGGACCTTTGGAAGTTCCAGTTCCCTTGGCTCTTCGATGGTTTAGGGTTTGTAATAGGGGTTTAGGGTGTTCAACGATATGTTGTTTTCTTGTCTTGGGTTTCAGGGTGCCGTTTATATGCCCGCTAAGGATCCAGGTGCCCAAATAGTATATACTTTTGGCCTCAAAGGGCCGAAGAAGACTCTATGTGGGCACATGGACCCTTAGGATTCTCACTTAAACCCTAAACCCTAAATGAGCAGCCTAGGATCGCAAGCTCTTCATGGAGTCGTGTTTCGCAAGATGGTGGGCCACTGCGTCGTTGGGGCCACCATGTTTTCATCGACAGCAGCAACTAGGTACCCAAAGGGCCCTAAATTTAATACGTGTCTAGTAGAATCTATAGGGTTTCTATACTATATGAGGGACCCTAAACCCTAAACCCTAAATTTCTATACAACATGAGGGATCACTGCTATCTGATTTGGGAAAGTATCCCCATACCGGTACCTGGGACCCTTTTGGGTAGAGCTTTGACTACGTTAACTATTTCCGGTTATCGTGTACCTACCCATAGGCCCTAAAGTAGTTCCTTTTTGGGGGTTCATATATAGAATCCTATAAGGTAGTCAAACCCTAAACCCTAAACCCTAAACCCTAAACCCTAAACCCTAAACCCTAAACCCTAAACCCTAAACCCTACCAGGTAGTCCCAAAAAGGAACTACTATGGGGCCTATGGGTATTCAGATGTATTTTCGAGGCCCAGCATGAGGGCCCATGGGGCTTGGTAGTTGAGGCTAGGGGGTTTAGGGGTTTAGGGTTTAGGGTTTAGGGTTTAGGGTTAGAATTAGGATAGCCCTGCTTAGGGCACTCTTAAGGTTATATAACCCTACTCCCTAAACTCGACGATATAACCCTACTTTGCAAGTCCCTTGAGCCCTAAAGCACAACCCCTAAACCCTAAACCCTAAACCCTAAAGCCCTAAACCCTAAACCCTGAACCGCCACCCAGGCAAGCGAGTCTGGATTTATGGAGGCTTTAACTTTGAAGGGGGATACAACCAAGATGGTGAGCTTTGGCACTTCACGCAGGAAACTTCTTCATGGTTCCAGGCCGATGACGGGAGCGCTCGCGAAGCTGTATGCTCAGGAAGTGGAGATATTGATCGTGGCGACATTTTCTGGCAGTTCGGGGGTAGGTTCTCAAACGGAAGGTGGTCAAATGCAATGTGGAGCTTAGACACCAATGCTGCATTTTGGACGGAGGTCGATTCCGGTAGTTCGGCCGGAAGCCCGACAGAACGTCGATACCTTACCGGCCACCTAGATGGTCTGGGCCGCTTCTGGATCTTCGCTGGAGGGCGGGAATGCGGATCTTTGGTCCTATGACACCGTACTTGGTGGCTGGACCCATCATGACTCTGGCAGTGGGCCAAACCAGCGGCAAAGCCACTCCTCTTTCGTGGATGCAGCGGGCCAATTCTACGTCTACTCTGGTGCCTTTGCTTCAGTGCGCTTGGGGCTCTGGCGTTATCAGCCCTCCATTCTGGGACCCAAGGCCTGTGACACATCTGCTTCGAAAGTGTCCGTTATCACTGCGGTCGGGGAGCTAGATGAACCCGGCCTCGAAGTGAGCATGGACGGCCACAACATCTCAATGCAGCTTTTGCTCCCGACCCTTCCGCTTCCATCCTCCCTGGTGGGAGGTGAGAATCTAACATGGAGGATGGATATTACTGTGGCCTCGGAGAATTTGGACCCGAACTCAGCTTGCGATATATGGACGCCCTCGAATGTCACGTACAATGCTCGTCTATCTCACACTGAACTACGGCAATCATGTGCTCTCCCGGAGACGATGTATTTTAACTCGACTGATGATGCCTGGATTCAGGACCGAAGCCCGAAAAACCTTCAAACCTAAACTCTAAAGCTTAACATTAACCCTTCAATCCCTAAGCCCTATAAAGCCTAAACATTCAAACCCAAAGCCCTAAAGCCTAAACCTTCCAACCTTAAGCCCTATTAAGCCTAAACCTTCAAACCCTAAACCCCCGAGCCCCGGGATTCAGGACGGCTTCTTGGGCATCTTCCTAGTTTCAGAAGCTCTGCTCGAAACTGTTTCTGGGCCGCTCTTGAGCATGACTGGGTGTTGGGTTTAGGGTTTAGGGCTATGGAATTTCATTTAAGCTACCATAATAGGGTTCTATTGCAGGGTTTCCTTTATCATGACAGCTCAATTAAAACGTTTTAATAGCGACTTCTAAGTGTAGTAATCGTATAGCACTGTACATTCGCTGGAAGGATCCAACCCGAAACCCTACACCCAACAAGCCCTAAGCCCAATTGTCATGCTTATCCCCGCAACCGTAAAACCAATAAACCCCAAGCCCAGTGTGATTAGAGCCCGAATGCTTAGTAATGCTGTCCCGTATGGTTCCTTACCAGGACTACAGTACTGCAGTATACAACAAAGACGCCCCCAAGCCCTGTTCCAATTGTTAAGGCTCCCATTTGGAACCCGAAGGCCCCTCAAGGAAACACCCTATGCCCTCAGGGTTTAGGGTTTAGGGTTTAGGGTTTAAGCCTTAATCCCTAAACATCCAATCCCTAGACCCAAAATAAACCGTGGGCCCTAAACCCTGAATCTCTAATTAATTGTAAACCCCTAAACCGCGAGCCCAGGTGGTCTTGGGTGCTTTTAAGCTTTCGAAGATCGTGATCGACTCGGTCGCCCCTTGTTCTTACTGCCATTACGGTTTAGGGTTTAGGGTTTTTGGGTTCGAGTTCATGGTTTTTTCGGGTTGGGGCACACCGGAGGTTTCCCCGAAGGGTTCTGTAAAGGTCTGGTGGTTATGCTATATGATTCAGTTTCTTTGCATGTCTTAGTCAGGCGAGGATGTGGGTCATACCCTTACGGATGGCCTTTGCCACCAAGCCTTCCAGCCTACCGGAAGACATGTTCGTGTTGAAGCAATGGAATGGGAAGTGCGTTCGCGCGGAATCTGGAAGCACGAACCCCGGAAATGGTGATCGTCTCGTGTTCTCCGACTCGTGCAACACGTCAACCGCTCTGCTTTTCAAGAAGGTGTACTTTGAGAGTGGCAGTAACTACTTCAACCTCCAGCTCCAGAATGGCAGATGCATCTATCCCCAAGGGGGCTCGGCTTCCATGACGTATAATCACCCGCTGGTGTTTTGGGACTGGTGTGGAAATGACGACAAGACATTATTCACCTTCATCGCCGAGGGGGGCGACTTCGTTTGGAAGCACAAGGAGAGGGGCAACATGTGTGTGCATCCCTACCTCGGCACTCTTCCTGTAGACGGCCAGTACTTGGTCCTTTTTCCTGACTGCCGGCCGGCTACCAAGCTCTTCTTCACGGAAGTAAATCCTCTTACGGACTCCTCCACGGTGAGGTGATCGGCAGCAGAGCCATGCCATGTGGTAACGCACCGGGCGCACAATGGGAACGATGCAATATGGAGCAGACATCACTGCGAAGCTGCGTGGCTTTCGTTATGGGATATAGCAAGGCCATGTCGAATGAGTCGAAGTTTATCAGCTCCTTGTAACCTAGTTGAAGACCAGGATTTTGTTTTGTGCAAAGCTTGACAAGAAGATAATTTTACGTCAGTCAAGCCTCGGGATCCGGCACCAGAAGACATGTTGGGCGGATCCTAGTGCTGGCAGTCACCAAAAAGTGGCACGCATCGCACCTGATATTTCGGCCTGAACATTAAATTATACTCCTTAGGGCTGAATGTATAATATATAGCTACATGAAGTTATATTGCAACATGCCCCAAGAGCACATTCGAACCTTTAAGGCCCCTTCAGGTGAAGTTTCTGCGGCTTGATCCACAGACTGTGTAGTAGCAAATGTCTTTCATATTGACATGAGAAGCTAGATGACCAGTGATGACACCTAAACCGTAAATGCCCTAAACCCTAAACCCTAAGCCATATAAGCCTTGCACCCTAAACACTACACCCTGTACCCTAAACCCTAAACCCAAACAGCGAATGACATGAAGTTTAGAAGACGGCGCACTTTCTTGTACGGGTGCTTCGACGACTTCCAGAATCCCCTCTAAGGGTCACTGTAGGAATTCCATAAGGGCTTTAGGGTTTAGGGTTTAAGGTTTAGGGTTTAGGGTTTAGGGTGTAAGTGTCTATGTACTTTGTATACTGTATACTTTGTTTGTAAGGTGGTTCCTTCATAGGAACTTCAGGGCCATTGTGCACACTGCTGTTGATGATATAAACCATGCATTACTTTAAGGACCCTAACATATGGGGATTACGGTCTATTCCTTCTTCTGGGTAATGTAGGATTTATAGCATCAACCGTATTGGGGCACATGAACCCTCAGGGACTACTTTTGTCGGCACAGCGCTGCTTTCCTTCCTGTTTACATCTGCCAGACCCGGGTCTTGAAAGCAGAACAGTTACCTACAGCCCGAAACCCGTAAACTTACGAAACCCTAAACCCAAAACCCTAAACCCTAAACCCTAAACCCTAAACCCTAAACCCTAAACCCTAAACCCTAAACCCTAAACCCAAACCCTAAGCCCAAACCCTAAACCCTAAACCCTAAACCTCC